GCTGCTCTTCTTCGCGCTCGACTCTATGTGGAGGGCTTTCCTGCAGCAACCAGTTTGTCCGGTTAGCCAGTCGGCGGAGCGGAGACCCGGAGCGGAGCCGGCTGTCAACTAGCTGTTCCAGAAATCAAGTAAGACAAAAACAGACTCCAAAAAATAAAGCGAACGAGTTGATAACAGGGCGAGAATGCGGTGAAATATAAAAACGTGGTCAAAATCAGACGAGGGCTGTTCTTTTTCTGGACGGCTTTTGTAAATCGTTGCTTGGGTTTAGGAAAAGAGGAGGAGGAGGAGGGTGGGTCGGCCGATTGGTCGGCCGCCAGTCAATCTTTCAGTCAGTCAGTAGGACAGACGGTCGCTCGACAGCGGCCTCCGCCGGCTTTATGCGAGAACAGCGCGGGCATGAATGGCGCTAGCGAGAGGTGTTCAAGATGTGAAAAAGGGTGCATAGCGGCCTCTCGTGGATTCAGGAAAACAAAAACTGCACAAATACGTGCCTCCCAGGACGTATTTCGCGGTCTCCAGAAACACCAGCGGGGCTACGTTTCCAGAATGAGCCTGGGCTGGATAATCCATATCAAAACCCAATATTCATTCATTCATTCATTCATTCATTTTCTTGTCGGCTTAGTCCCTTTATTAATCCGGGGTCGCCACAGCGGAATGAACCGCCAACTTATCCAGCAAGTTTTTACGCAGCGAATGCCCTTCCAGCCGCAACCCATCTCTGGGAAACATCCATACACACTTTCACACACACACTCATACACTACGGACAATTTAGCCTACCCAATTCACCTGTACCGCATGTCTTTGGACTGTGGGGGAAACCGGAGCACCCGGAAGAAACCCGCGCGAAGGCAGGGAGAACATGCAAACTCCACACAGAAACGCCAACTGAGCTGAGGTTCGAACCAGCGACCCAGCGACCTTCTTCAGGGCTCAACAATAAGGACTGCCCGGTGGCCCAGGGCCAGCGTGAGAGACGCTTGGGACAGTAGACAGGATCATTACTGGCCCGATTGGGACAGTGCTGCCATGTCACTAACATTTAATTTGTCTTCGACTATTTTTCAATTGCGTGCATTTTAAGTTTGTGCTTTTAAGTCTTTAAACACTACCTTCTCTGTGATGTCGTAAACACCATATTGCTTTCTGGTTCCTCTTCTCTGATTTGATGTTTTGAGCATGCTATTTTTTTCAGTAACCTGGTAACAACCAGTACAGCGAAGAAACAGCAACATGGCAGCAACATCAAATTATAAGGCTAAAAGAAAATGTCTGTTTCTAACATCTTGGAAGCAGACATTTACGTGCGAACATCGCAACAAAAAAATAAAGTGATGTTTTGCAAAGTTTGCCGTCAGTTTGACAAGTCACCCACCTTTTGAATAATTTCGAACCGCAATAAAATACCTCTACATTTTCTATACTGCTCTTTTTGTTTGCATTACACTTTTATTAACAATTTTTTAAGTATTGAAATTTTAGATTCGCAGACTGTATTTTAGACACATTATTTAAAATATGTGGCTAAAACATAGCTATTAACTTACCTTTTTTTTGGGGGGGGGGGGGCGCCAGTAAAAATTTTGGCAGGGCAAGTAAAAATCTGAACCACTTGCTCAATTGGAGCAGTAGAAAAAATCCTTAGCGTTGAACCCTGTTCTTGCTGTGAGACGACAGCACTACCTACTGCGCCACTGCCTCGCCAAAACCAATATTTATTTTTTTATTAAAATTCTTAATTGTTTAATTTAAAAAATGTTTAAGAACAAACCATTTTATTTTTATCAAAAATTCCTTTCTTCCATACAAAACAACTTTTATTTATACTCCAATAAACAAAGGGGACTAAAAGTCCAAAAATTATGCATTTACTGTGTGTTTTTATTAAAATAGTTGATAAAGTAAAAAAGAAAAATAAATAAAGCACATTATTAAAAAATACAAACAAACAAACAAATAAATAAATAGAAATAAACAAACAAACAACAACCTAAACCACTGCAAAATAAAATATGCTCTTATTTTAAAGCAGCTGAATGAACACGCATTATTTCAGCATGCTGGGTTCATTAATATATCCATCTACATCTTCACTCCTCAATAGTGGTTCATTATCATTTTAACCATAACTGTGTGTAGTTTACGTGCACCAAATATTATCAGGAAATCTTCTGTGGTTATAGTTAAATCCAGTAAGAGCCCCTTGCGAGCATCCGTTTAGAAAACCAAAAACCTTTCAGCTTCTCAAACGTTCAAAATGCTGTTCAGAGTAAAATGAGCACACTCTCTGATCTTTTTTTAACCATTGAAAGTATTTTTTTCTCACCTGGAGTTTTGAAAGGTTCAGCAACCGCAGCTGAGGGGAGTGCAATGTGTTTTTGCGGTTAGTTGGTAAACTGAAGCTGTGAACTGGGGAATGTTACTTTAAGGACTGCAATGCATCTGCACATAGTTTGCAACTAAAAAATAAAAGTCAACATAATGTAAGCTTTGTTTAGGATTATGCAAAGGCTAGTAAAATTCTAAAATGTAATTTAATGTATTTTATATGTAATACACTAAATGATTAGAATAGAAAATGCGACGTGGAAAACAACGCAGATATTCTTAACTTGAAAATAAGTTAAAAATAAGTTTTTATGGTACAGTTTTCTATTTAAAAGGATTAATTCTACAATATTTGGATTTTTAATTGTATGGAATAGGGCGACATGATGGCTCAGTGGTTAGCATTGTCGCCTCACAGCAAGAAGGTTGTTTATTTGTGGTCTTTGCATGCTCTTCCCGTGTTGGTGTGGGTTTCCTCCAGGTGCTACATGCGCTGTAGGTGAACTGAATAAACTAAGTTGTCCATATTGTATGTGTGTGTGTGTGAAATGAGTGTGTATGGATGTTTCCCAGTTCTGGGTTGCAGTTGGAAGGGCATCCACAGTGTAAAACATTTGCTGGATAAGTTGGCGGTTCATTCCGCTGTGGCGAAGCCTGATAAATAATGGGACTCAGCCAAAGGAAAATTAATAAATGAATGGGATATGGCAAGCTGTATTGGCGCAAAATATTACCAGCTTTACTTGCTATTTTACTAGAAAGAATTAAACTAGAGAGTTCAATAAAATAGTAATAAATTAGTTTACACAGATCTCTAAATATTTTTTAGTAAGAACTCCAACTAGAAAGCTATTTAGTTGATTTCTAATACTAATAAGTCCTAGTAAACTAGAGAGCTCTCTAATCTAGCTGTTATTATAAATAACTCTGCAATTAAATGCAGGTGTAATGTGTTTTATTGCTAATAAAATAAATAACAGAGCTCTGCAATAGTATTTGAACTCTTTGATTGCATTTAGATACGAGTGCAGCTCAGCAAAACACTTATCTCATAATTATTTTTAACCAGCTAGTAGCTAGTTAACTGATAATGACATTGATATCAGTACTGATATACATGTAGTATAGTTATGGGATTAATCTACAATTCAGTGATTATTTAAGGTGTAAATCATATCAGGAATTGTACTATTTATTTCAATATACCTTCAAATGTCTTGCTTTTATTTTGGTATAACATTAAATCAATATTAATCGATATTGATCAGAGTTTGTTGGGATTAAGTGTTCATTTTGTCCATTGAAATATACAACAATGCTATTGAAATACCATTGATTGGTCTATTTTATAGTGAAATATGGATATTATAAAGAATTTTGAGCAAAAAGTGACTTAATTTGATTTGTTTTTTTAAGGACACACAAATACAGGATCTCTTTACTAGTAAATATTCAATTGCAGAGCACTGTAATTAAACAGAATTGGAGTCAATGAAGACATATGACTGGTTAATATAACACAATTAATTTGAAGAGGTCAAAACAGAATTTAATTATAACTGGAATATATACTGTATGCATATATTGATCGATATACAACTTGATCAGAGTATATTGGGTGTTCATTTTGCCTCTCAAAAACAATACAGTGCCATTGAAATACCACTGATAAGACTATATTAGAGTGATATAAGACTATTATGAAGAATTTTTAGAAAAGTAAAATATGATACAATTAGTTTTTTATGGACACTAAAAATAAAGCTCAAATACTAGCCTACATCTCTTTACTAGTTAATATTAAATTGCAGAGTTATTAAACAGAATAGTAGCCAATGAAGACATATGACTGGTTAATATGACAAAATTAATTTAATAGGTCAAAACAGAATTTAATTATAACTGGAATATAAACTGTTTGCATATATTGATCGATATACAACTTGATCAGAGTGTATTGGGTGTTAATTTTGTCCCTCAAAATATAATACAATGCCACTGAAATCCCTGCTGAAGAAAAACATCTTAAACCAGCCTAGGCTGGTTGGCTGGTTTTAGCTAGTTGACCAGTCTGGTTTTAGAGGGGTTTTGGCCATTCCCAGGCTGGTTTCCAGCTATTTCCAGCCTGGTCCTAGCTGGTCAGGCTGGGATATGACCAGCTAAAACCAGCTTGACCAGCCTAACTAGACTGGGGGCGCAGTCAAAACCAGAAAAGTTTTTTTTAGAAAATTAAAATATAATACAATTTTTTTTTTTTTTTTTTTTTTTTTTTTTGGACACTAAAAATAAAGCTCAAATACTAGCCAACATCTTTACTAGATAATATTAAATTGCTGAGCTCTAAACAGAATGGGCGTCATGAAGACACTATTTGACAAGGGGTGTTCACTACTTATTAAATTATTGTAATATATTCTTTCTAATTGCAAAGAATCAATTTAATGAGCTCTCGAACTAAATATTTTTAGTTAAAAATAGAAATAAAACAATTACTACGACGAATGACGCTGGAAATGCTAATCTTTAAAGCCAATTCTGCTTGCTATATACGCTAGGACCCCACTCAACGTAGGTTGTAGCCTACATTTTCCACATACAATTACCAAATAAACCCCAGCTAATACTAAAGTCTTATTGAAAACAGCGATCTAGAAGTGAAATCTTACCTGAAATCCAAAGAGCAAAGAGTAAAATCAATCGAAAGTATAACGTGGAAAAATTCATGACGGGTTTTCGCGGCAACAGGATCATGTTGTTATTGTCAGTGCGGTCCGACAGACTCTGAAATAAATGACAACAGAAACAAAAGTAAACCTACTACTCGCTCAAAAACACCATAGCGCTTCGGACAAACATGTTATCCCTTCGTGACAGACATCGGGAAACGAAACACAAACACAGACATGTCTAGCAGTCAAATTGCCCGTTTTATATCACGTCGAAATGAAAGTATTATGGGGTTTTCCAAGACAGAAACATGGAAAAAATGAGTTCTGATCCTCAATAATGCATTTTCCTCAAAGAAAACTGCTCGTTGACAGTTATATAACCACAAAAGTAGGCTTAAACATGCATACATGCTAACTAAAAGTAAAAGAAATAGAAGATTATATTAAAAAGTGCTGAAAATGAAACATTACATAAAGCTGTAGGCTGTAGACGTGTCTTACCTCATGCAGTGTGAGCGCTGAAGAAATGGCGATGCTCTGAAATACTTCTTGGAGTTTCCAGGTCGGCTGTAAATTACTTTACACTGCTTTTTCTTCTCAATACTGCGAGACAGTGGAGAAAACATCATCCCACCCTACATTTGGAAACTTCCTCTCTAAATATTACCAGCTTATTTCCTGATGATAGGCTATTTGTAAAGCTTATTTACAGGCTTTATATAGTAATAGCTGTATACAATAAGGTTAGGTAATGCATTTACTAACATGCATAAACAATACATTTATTACAATGTTCATTTGTGTTAGTTAAAAGTTGTTCACAGATAATTAATGTTAACTACCTATAGGTGAAAAGAAAATGTACTTAAGTTGTACTTTTTTGGACATAATTATCATATTTTAATTGTACTATACTAAGTGCATATTAAATGTGTTAATTTGGATCAACTTCAAGCATATTAGTTGGTATTTTATATATACTCAAGATGAACTTTAAGCTATTTGAAATATGCTGTGTTAAAATGGACATATTTTAAGTACAATTAAAGTTTACTTTTAAAAGTGTATTTTATTTAAAGTACATTTAAATTATATATATATATATATATATATATATATATATATATATATATATATATATATATATATATATATATATATATATATATATATATATATATATATATATATATATATATATATATATATATATATATATATATATATATATATATATATATATATATATATATATATATATATATATATATATATATATATATATATATATATATATATATATATATATATATATATATATATATATATATATATATATATATATATATATATATA